CAAAATGACTTTCTTTTTCCTTTCTGAAATTTTGTTTTTAATACTTTCTATAGTACTAGGTTCAGACAGGCTTTTTCCAGGGAAAGTGAAGGCTTTCTTTCTTTTTCTCGTAGTTTGTGTTTCAGTTTGACGAGACGTTTGAAGAAAATCTTCAAAACTGTTTGTCCAAACGTTGGAGGTGGCATCTTGACTACTTTTTATAGGTAGGCATTTTAAAATTTAATTAGCTTTTAATGGATATATACCACTAGCCGGAAAACCAGACTTTAGGTTTTTAGAAGAACTAGTCTCCAGGATATCTAAGGGAACACATCTTTAGGGATTAGTCCGCGGTATTTATTCTTATAATCTTGTAATAGTTTCCTCCACGCTGTTTTAAGAGGACTGAAGTAGGCCAGATCAAGTGGCTGACACAAATGAGTTCTGTTTGGCGGTAATAGTAAAAACTTTATATTGTTTTCAATGCATAGGTTAAGAACTCGAATAGACACGTGGCTTGCTGGGTTATCCCCGATAATGGCCTTGGGACCATCTCCCATTTTTTAAAAATAAGGCAGGGGAATTGTAATGTACCAATCTTCAAATAATGTTGTCTTTTAGGAATATTTTCAGAATATCTTTCTATTGCAAGATTTGCATTTCTGTTGCAATTCTAGCACAAAAAATTTTTCTTCGTGAGAAAAACGTAATGCCATGTTTTTTATACGTTATTATTAATAATAATGAAAACTATTACTTTTACACGTTTGACAAGTAATCATTTTGTTTAATTTTCAAACAGTAGGTATAAAAACTATCCCATTTAACCATTTCTGTATATTCTATGGTTTTCAAGATCCCATATATTTAGGCTTAATTTAGGCCACACTGTATTCAAGGTGAATACAAATATTTTAGGAGGTGATAGAACAAACTTTAAAATAAGGGGGATAAAGCAATTCAAAGGAGGTAAGAATACCCAACCCACCCCCTTAAACTACCACTCTAAAAATTATTTGTTTTTATTTAACTAATAAATCAAGTGCTATGAAACTTTTAAGTCCTCCAAGAAATTTGGATTTAATAGTTTGGAAGTTAGGACCGAAAAACTGATTTTCCCATTCCTCCTTTAAATGGCGTTATTTCCCTTACTTCAAAGTGTATATATCAAAATGACCTTAATTTTCATTGTTCTATCACCTCCTAAAATATTTGTATACCTTTTTGACTCGCCTTCTATATAAGTTTGTGACATTAAATGTTTATTATAATGGCTTATACCCTTTTTTCAATTTTTATATTAACGTTTTAAAACCTGTATACATATGCATTCCTGATAATTGCAATAGGATTTCTTTCAAAGTTAGCAACTTGTACACCTCTGTCCCAATATTCGAAACCATGCCTTTGGATAGGAAGAAGTGCAATTGTCTCTAATAACAATATCACAGTAATTTTTAAATTTTTAAATATGTCAATCAATAAATTTCTTCACATTTAATAATAAAACTTATGAACAACCAGATAGTCTGGCTATGGGATATGGCATGACTCATTTAATTTTTGACATCTTCATGAAACACTTGGTTTTTCACCCTGTTAGGCATGCTTCTACTTTCCCCCGAGGATTCTAGCAGACTTTCCCCAATCAGGCTTGGATACATCCACTGGCTCCCCTTAATCAGGCTTGGGGTCCAGTTTGCTTCAATCTTCTTGGCCTCATAAATCACAGAAACTAACTACATAATATCATGATATTTTAAGATAACACAGATATGTATGTTAAGTAGAAGATGATTGCAACACAGCCTTTCCCATCTTACGTGCAATTGATAAAATCTATAGAAGGTCTATTTTGTCACATAATATCAATAATTTTTCCCTTTAAACACACAGGTGTTGCTTCCTACTCTCTTCTACAAAACACCTGGTATAACTTTCTTCACTTACTTCACAATAGGCAGTACTTTATTTAATAATAAAGAAAAGAATTCCCTTTCTTAATTCACTGCCAATGTCAATGGACGCTCCCACACAACAGCCGATTGCCGAGTGCATTCCTCATTAGAACTTTTTAGAGAAAATAACACACTTTAAGTTCAAGGTTCATTAAAAAAATTAACATCGTGAGAGAAATGAGTAGTACCATATTTATAATGTATATACATTGTTGCTAAAGATAACCAGGTCAGATAGAAAAGGTATTGGTAATAATAAGGTAATAAGTGTGTGTTTATTTTAATTTTAGCACTTTCTCGGCTCCTTTGAAGAAAGCAAAACAGTTTCGCGCGATGCGATATAGCAATCAATATTGACCTAGTGAGAGTGTTGAGTAATTAATAATAAACAAATATGAGTGTTTTAACTTGCATTTTATCTATCCGGTTCCTCAGTTATCTTCATTATAAAAATCGAAATAAAAAAATTATAAATATACTTTTATCATTATTTTAACTTATAAATTTATTTATTATAAAATGCGTTACCATGCCTTATATCTTAAATCAATTCGTTTTTTAACTGTTTCAAACGAGATATCCTATAATGCCCCGTTCGGAAGTAAAACGAAATAATTTAAGTTATCTACACAACTTTAAATAAATTATTTGACATTAAAAAATGACAACAATTTGACCAACGGTCGAACGCTTTGGTACCAAACTTAAAAATTAATTATAGATAAAATCCTTTTGGTAGGGTATTTGGGATCAAAATCTAAGAGTTTTGAAAGTGTTCACTTGCCCCCCTTTCTCCAAAATCCTCCAAGAGTAAACTTGATATTTTTAACTGTAACAAAATTCACACAGTTTATGGGATATTGAATTTTAAAAAGTATTTGACGTTGCCCCCTCCCCTCAAATAATAAAAATATCAATTTTAATAAAAATTATGAAAAATATTAAAACATGGTTTTAGTCATTTTGATAAAGAATTTTAAGATTAATATAATAATATACAGGGTGACCCATTAGTGTGAAAAAGTCCAATATCTCCGTCTTTATTAGAGATATAAAAAAATATTTTTACAGAACGGTAGACAGCGTTAAACTACATATTTTAAAATTATTTTTGAATATACAGGGTGTTTAATAACTTCTCTCAGGAACCAACTTATGTTCTTTTTAAAGTATCGCCCTGTATTTTATTTTATGTTTGAATTACCCTCGCTTTTCCCATTCTAAAAATATAAATTATTATTGGTTTATACAGGGTATTTTGCAGGATATAATCAGTTTTGTATGAAAATCGTATTGAATTCAATGACCTATATCATGCAAAAGAAACAATTGACAATCAATTTTTTTTCTACCACAATTTTTTGATCATGGTCAAATTTTATCCGGAGACACTACTTTTTTCAATTCGCTTCAAATCTGTACAGGGTGAGTCAAAACACAAATACATAATTTTCTCAATTTTTTTAAATGGTTCACCCTGTGTTTTATATCATCGTTCAAATGTATCCTAATTATACTTTAATTTGACTTAAGCATTCCCTATACCAAAAGTTAATAGTTTTTAGAGATTTTTAAATTTTAGTGGTAAAAACGATAATTCAGAAAATAATTGATTGGAAATACATTTTATTTATCATTAGTAATTAATTGAATTTAACCATTAATTGAATTTATTAAAACTATTAACTTTTGGTATAGGGAATACTTAAGTCAAATTAAAGTATAATTAGGATACTTTTGAACGATGATATAAAATACAGGGTGAACCATTTAAAAAAAATCGAGAAAATTATGTATTTGTGTTTTGACTCACCCTGTACAGATTTGATGCGAATTGAAAAAAGTAGAGTCTCCGGATAAAATTTGACCATGATTGAAAAATTGTGGTAAAAAAAAAATTGGTTATCAATGGTTTCTTTTGCATGATATAGGTCATTGAATTCAATACGATTTTCATACAAAACTGATTATATCCTGTAAAATCCCCTGTATAAACCAATAATAATTTATATTTTTAGAATGGGAAAAGCGAGGGCAATTCAAATATAAGATAAAATACAGGGTGGTCCATTAAAAAGAACATAAGTTGGTTCCAGAGGGAAGTTATTAAACACCCTGTATATTAAAAATAATTTTAAAATATGTAGTTTAACGCTGTCTACCGTTCTGTAAAAATATTTTTTTTAATATCTCTAATAATGGCAGAGCTATTGGACTTTTTCACACTAATGGATCACCCTGTATATTTCGTTTCCCCTTCTTACCTCCCTTTTAAATATTGCTTTATATTTTATATAAAAATAAATGTAAAAATAAAATATGATTAATGAAGATATACTATAAGACTTTCGATCCTTCCAGGGTTTGTTTCCCTCCATTTCCCCCTTTCCTTTTTTAATTATTTAAATAAATCAAAAATATTTGAATTTTGAAAAAAAAAATGGTGGCATGTTATTAAGTGAATTATTCTATGAAAAAAATGTTATTTGGTGATACCCCTAAAATCCTCCCAAATTAATATTTCCATTATATAAAAAAAGTAATTTTTGTCAAAAATCATTAAAAAAATATATATTTTTTAAATATTCCCACTTATAAATTATTTTTTTCTGTCGAAAATATAAAAATTTTATTAAAAAAAAATATGGGGGAAAAAAGATGCTTGCTTTTTACCGTACAATCTTTATTTTCATCCCCATTTCCCCCTTTTTTGGATTGTCTATTTTTAATAGGTATATAGGAATAAAAATGTTAAAATTTTATTGTGCTTGTTATTAATAGAAATAAAATTAACAAATATAAGGCATTTCCCCCTTTTGCCCCCCTCTATTTTAATGTAAATTTTTATTAAAATTTCAGATCAATTACGTTTTTATTCTGTCGCTTTACAATAAATAATTATTTTCGTCTTGTCAGCGTCGTCTTAACATAACTGCTAACATGTCTCGCTGGCGTCTAGATACGCACGCACAGACGACCAGACAATATTTTTTTGCAAGAACATTTTATCGTCGGCACAAATGCACTACCTCAGTAAAAAAGTAATTAATATTTTATACTTACATCCTCCATTATATAATCCAAATTCAATATGTCATTATTGAAACAATCCGTCATCCATTTGGCACATATTTCTTTATACGTGAAATATTCATCGTCATGTTGCACAGTCATGTTTTGGATGTACCCATCTAACAATCGCATCTCCTTCCAAACGTCGACTCGTAACATATTTTTGTCGCCATCTTTCGAGGTTAGAATCACTCGGCCAAATCGTCCTGGAAAAAGAAATAATTTCAAAAATATAGATACACTACAGTAATATTTAATTAAAAATCAGAAGAAGGCAAATGCTGACTGACACTGTAAATACTTTTACAAGTAATTTTTTGAAATAATTGTTCACAAGAAATGTTGTTATTAAACGTAAAAACAATAAATAACATATTTCTTTGCGAGATTATGTTTGATTCGGTTAACGTCTTTTCGAAATGATTTCGAGGTTGAGATCAGTCTTCCAAAACGACCTGGATAACAAAATTATCAGTAATGGCAGTTACGTGAGTGAGATGTCTAACTGTTCATAAGCGATGCTTAAACCAGATAAGTAGGAAAAAAATTAGTTAACAATTTAGTAAAAAATTAGTACAACGATTTGAAAAAATTACTCTCTCTAATGTAGAGGTTCTTTTACTGGAATAATATTTAAAAAAATAGCATATGTCCAAAAATACCTGAATTGAATTAACAGTGAAAAGTGACAAATATAGAGCGTTTCTGCAAAGGATAATGAGAATGTTACAATGTTCTCTTGTTTTTCCTGAAAAAAGCTACTGCTACAACATAATATGTAACTACATTAACTAATAACATAAAATCTTATCTTTTCTTGTTATGGCGCCATAATCTTATTTTTTGTTCGCTTTTTCTCTCCCCTAACCTAAAATTCTTTTATAATCAAATGAGTGAGGCCCTCCATCTGCTGCACTAGCGAGAGTACTGGTTCAGTAGATTTTAGGTTTGGATATTCAGTTGGTCAGAATTTTTGTTATCGACATCAGAGCATCAAGAAGCATAAAGAAACAATTTTGAAGATGGATTGGTTTGGAGGTATAGTGTCAAGGGTGAATTTGAGGCATAAGAGAGGGACTAGGACCAGAAACCCTGTTGTACTCCAGCAAGTGGCGTGAAAAGGTGCAAATGCGTTGCCTACTTTGTAATAGTTCTGTCCGTGAGGTATGAGTGTATAAGTTTGAGGATGTTGATGGGAAGATGTTCAAAATCTTTTTGACTAGTCCAGCGTGCCAGACATGGTCAAATGCTTATTGAACGTCGAGTAGAACGGCTGAAGAGATTTGGAGAGAATTTACTGCTGTGCCCGCAGTTGTATGAGTTGAGAAGATTGCATCCTAAGTATAGTAATAAGATCTAAAACTGTGTTGGGATTGCGGAATTATTTTGTTCTTCATAAAAGTCCCAGATTTTATCTTTGAGCAGAAGTTCCAAGGACTAATATGAGAGGGATAGGACGGTATGAGTCAAAGGATTTGGGATCATTCCTGGTTTGGTAATAAGAATGGTGTTGGCAGATTTTTAGGAAAGTGGGAAATAGAAAAAGGAGAGGCTGGCATTTAGGAGTAGGTTTAGAATAGGAAACAAGGTTTTAGAAACAGAATTAGGGCCAAAGGGTGGGTTTTCACCTGATTTACGGGCGTATTAGATGTCTTGGGGAGAAAATGTGGCAATGGGAGGGTTTTTGACACCCAATAGTTGGGCTGGAGAGACAAGGGCCTAATGGACATTGAGTGTCAGGAGTGATCATCAAAGTAGGGATTATTACTGGTTCTGAAATTGGCTTCAAGGTATGTCTTGAGAGCTAAGGTATTTTCGTCGATAGTGGTATGTGTTTCACTGTTGACTTCGATGTAGGAGTGTGTTTTGGATTTTTGACCAGTAATGAGTCGCAATTTGTCCCAAAACTTGCAATCGCCTCTGTGATACTTTTCGGTGGTATTGATCCATTGTTGTTGTTGTTGTTGTTGTTGTTGTTGTTGTTGTTGTTGTTGTTGTTGTTGTTGTTGTTGTTGTTGTTGTTGTTGTTGTTGTTGTTGTTGTTGTTGTTGTTGTTGTTGTTGTTTGTGTAAGCTTATTTAGAGCCTGGTCATGGCGTTAGGACGGTTCCATTCGATTTTGATGACAGGGTCGTGGGAACGGAAAATCGGCATTTTTGGAGGATGAGTTTTAGGATGTATTGAGGGCAAGCTTTTATGAAGTATTGATGGATATTATTGGGGTTGAAGTTTCTTCGGCATGGGTGATGGTGGTTTGGCTACTAGGAAGTCGTTGTCCTGTGGCGAGTGGAGCAGCAGTGCTCTGGAATGGTAGATAGTTCTCTAACATAAAGACTAATCTGATTTATTGAGATTTCGGAAGATATATATAGTAGCTCTTGGTGGGGTGGAAAAGAAGAGAGATGTGTGATCAACGGGAAATGATTAGAAATAATTTAATCTCCAATGAAGCATTTATCTGCGACTAGTCTAGTACAGAAATCTATCAGAAAGATGTGGTCAACAGTAAACGATTCTAGATGAGTCAAGGGACAGCAACAGTTCTCGATATATCTTTGTGTAAATTAACATGGTAAATTTTGACAGTGTTTGTCTCTTTCAAGGTCACGCGACGAGGATCGAAGCCCAGCTTATCAATAAACATGATAATACCGGCTCGTAGTTAGATACCGTCGAGAATCCAAGATGGCGGCCATCGTTGACATCAACAATATACAAGGTTAACGAAAAAAACAAGCCAAAAACGCATTATCGAATATCTCTGTGTTTATTGGTCCGATTTCAATGGGATAAACGCACTATGAAGAAGATATGACGTAGATTAACGTTAAAGAAAAAAAAAACATAAAGAGGGGCAAATCTAGAAGGACCTAAGTGTATGTATCCGTTGTTTTTGGTCCGAGTCGACTGGGAAAAACAGTATTATGAAGGAGACGCGATGTAGATTAACGTTGAAGAGAAAAATCACGCGCAGTAGCAACTGATATTGGTCCAAACACATACTTTGATATGTGGGTCCAAATCAAACGGGACAAACGACATTCAACGTGAACTGTCATATAGCTATCATTTACAGGTCAATAGATGCAGCAGCAAGCCAAAATTAGTTAATATCTCTGCTATTATTACTCCGATTTAAATGGAACGAAAAACAGTCAACGTGAGCTCCCATTATAACGTCATTAACAAGTATACATGCGCAGTGACAAAGCCAAAAGGCACTAACGTATATCTTAATTGATATTGGTCCGAATAGAATGGGACAAATGGCATTCAACGTCAGCTCATTTAGAGACGTCATTTACAGGTACACATGCGCAGTAACAAAGCCAAAAAGGCATTAACGCATATCTCCGCTCTTATTGGTGCAATTTGAATTCGGCAAATGTTACTAAACTTGATCTGTCATTGACACGAAAGTCGGTTAGGGGCTCTAATGATGGGGTAGTTGATTAATTTGGATTTGAGGCATGATCTCCAAATATAGTATGTCTGGAGCTTAGGTCTGAAAGCAAAGCGTTATTTATTACAAAAATATATTATCAAATGTTTTGTGTCAAAACTATCTCAGATTATCTTAACTTCTCAAAAACTGTTAAAATTAGTAGAACAAAAGTGTATAAATATTGACATAAATTTAAATACTAATATGACATTTTCAGTAAGGCACATAATTTAAACCTGTATCTTCAAGGAAAATATGCACATATTTTACAAAAAAATAATGCACGGAACGCAATAGTAAAGAAAAAAAAATAGAAACGTTTTCAAATGTCGTTAATTTGCATTTTTTAATGAACTAAGTGATGAAAGATTCATAAACTATCTGCAGATGGACAGTAATAACTTTTTGTCGAGTTTCATGAATTAATTGAAAATTACACTTTCTATGGATCGCAAACTAGATTTCAGTGAAACATTATTATGAGTATTGGTTTATAAGAGTTTTATTTTTAAAATTTTAAGTAGGTATTAGAAGAAAAAAATTAAAAAGAAACCTGCTGAAGTGGTTTTAGAGCAACAAAAACAGGATCTGATTCAGGAAAATTAAACAAATAATATTGAATCAATGGTAGTAGAAAAAATCTTCTGGCCCAACAATTTTAAGTCTTATTTCAGGAAAATCAAGCTAGAAGTCAGAATGAACAATACATGAAAAAGCTGAAAAACACCAACTACAAATTGCATTGCAACAAATGCATAATAATATGGAAAATATACAAAAACAAATTAATATCTTAAACAGAGAAAATCTGAATCTCTAACGAATTGTGAGCTATTGCTTTCGTAATCGCCTTCTCTAAATTATCATTTGGCATTAATTTCAAAGTACCTTCCAAAGAGTTCAATCATCTCTGTATGGCCATCTCATGAACGCAGACTCTTTGGTGTTATTTATCGTTTTTCTTTAGTTTCTCCCAACGCATTGTGAAAGCCTTCGAAAATTGACCACCTTAGGCTATAGCCTAGCTAGCCTATTTAGAAATGCACCACTAAAGAATATTTAGAGTAAAACAGGAGGAGGCAAACTCCGAAATTAAAGAAATTAAAGCAGCTTTCCCAGAAGGCAGTTTGCTAGGACCGATTCTTAAATTATTATACACCAGCGATATCCCTCAACAAGAATTTATGAGAAAAACACCAGGAAACCTGCAACAGAATCAATCGATGGACAAAGAAGTGGAAAACTAAATCAGGGCATGTTGATTTTACTCTTCGACCAAATGAACAAGAACAAATAAGAACAAACAGTGATGTTATTCCAGTTCTGTTTTTCTTATGGTTCATACACAGTAGCGTGTTTTTTTTTAAGTTTTCAGTTCCTTTGTAAAACCGAGATCGATTGTAAAATTACGGGTTTTTACTGAATATATAAGATATACATTTATCATTGAGTTTAAGGAGATTACAGCACCCCTTATAATTTTCAGTTTAGCGTATTTTCATTTTTAATTAAAATTTTGGTAAAATATCCCTTTATCATTCTCTGGTCGAAATATCAACCACTTAAGTTACAGGACCATCTCAGGCGTGCAGAGTCGCAGAATCAACCACTTATTATCCAAGCTATGTATTTAGGTTGGATAGTTCATCAAACTGGAGATAGTACTCGCATATCGGGGACAACACTAATGATTTGTAATTGCTGTGGTGGGAGGTGTTTGTGTGAATGCGTCATGTTTGTTTTCATTTACGCCGTGACTAGTAGTACATCGGATGTACACGAAATATTTGTACATCGAATGTATCCCCCATTGCTTTTACATCATAATTCTAACCTAACTTTATTTCAGATGATGGAGTGGAAGACTTAAGTATTTTTCTGTAGTATTTTATAAACCAAACATGAACAAATAATAATAATGCCGTGACAACAAGAAGACGAAGCAACGACTTCTCATAGAGTGGCAGCTTTCAATCCATACCTGGCTACGCCGACCGGCATAAACACCAACGGCCTGGACACAACTCACCTACTCTGTCAATAGGAGACCAATGTACAAATAAAACGCGTACATCCGATGTACTGCTAGTCAGTGTCTTTCATTTAACTTTCAACTAAACCTAAAAAAAGTCCACTCGAGCATACAAAGTACCTAATATGTAGGTGGAAACAATCATTGCATAGATTTTAGATTTTACCTAATATCTTCTTTTAAAATAAATTACAGAAAATGGACAGAAAGTTGAGAAAATTGCAAATGTATTGACTCAAAAACGGTTTTTGCAAATTTTGTGTCATATACATATAAATGAAAACAGTAAAATGCCTGACAGAATAAGTCCCAATTTCGATAAACTGTATAAGGTGCGGCCTATGCTAGAAGGTCTAAATAAAAGTTTTAAAGCCAATTACATCCCAGATAGGTTCCTTACAGTTGATGAGAATATGGTGGGTTTCAAAGGTAGATCATTTTTAAACAATATATGTCTATGAAACCCACGAAACGTGGAATCAAGGTTTGGGGCATGGCATGTTTAAAACCAGGTTACTTGCTTACTTTGAAGTGTATGAAAGTAAAAAATAATGCAGATGTAGGTATAGAGCGTGTTGTTCTAAAATTATCAAAATATTGCATTCTTTTTTTTTTTGATAATTTTTTCATTTATTATCAACTCTACTACCGTTAGTACTTTTCGAGTAAATAGACAAAATTATCTAAAAAGTATTTTAGCTAAAACTTGGACAGTCAGATTTTGCTATGTCTTCTGAAATATCTGTATGTAAATGGAGAGATCGGGGTAAAAAGCCAGTTGTTGTAATTAGCAACATGCATGACGCCTAGCGAAATTTCAACAGTTCAAAGGACAAATAACATTGGTATCAAAGAAACCATCAATTGTCCTCTACCTATACGTGACTGTAACATGCATATAAACGAGATAGATCATTTTGACGAGCTTGTTGCTTGCTACAATATATCTTGGAAGTCCAGGAGATGGCGGCTCAAGTTATTTTACCACTTTTTAGATTATTCTTTTGTAAATTCATACATAAAATTCAAATGAAGGTAGAAAGTCGAAAAGCAATAGCTTCAATGGTCGGAAGCGCAAAGGCCCTCCATCTTCTGCTTTTCGAAAAATTAAAAAATTAGGACGAAGAAATGTCACAGTTGATAATAGTAATAGACTAAGTAATGTTAGCTCTCACCTTCATATGAAAGGAAGCTCTAGAAGGTGCGCTCGCTATAGCACAAAAGCAAAGAGCACTAGATCACAAATAATGTGCAAATCTTGTAACGTAGCTTTGTGTTTAGAATGTTTTGCTCTTTTTCATTCTAATGAATAATTTTTTTTATAATATATGTAAAAATAATCGTTGTAATGACAAGTGGTTGATATATCAACCAATGAACATACAAGAATTGTCACATGTCTAGACGTTCATTGGTTGAAATATCAACCACCATCTTCCAGTTTCAGAGAAAAAAAAACAAAGGACTAAATTTTGAAATATAATGAAAATAAATGCATTACTCAGCAGCACTATTCTTAATATAATCCCCAAATTACTTAATTTATTTTGACAAAATTTTAATTTAAAAAAATTACTTATTGAGATATGCTGGTCCGAAAATTATAAGGGATGTAACCACCTTAAAATTTACATTTGTCACATGTTATTAATTAACTGAAATTTTTCGTTCGTCAACGTTATTTTGCTTAACAAAAAAATGTATCTGTATTATTTTTATTTAAGAAATTGAAGACAACGTGAACCCGCAACGTAATTTAATCAAGACAATTACTAAAAAAATCATGAATCCGCATGTTATGAAACCGAAAATATTGCAAAATAAAAAATTACATAAATACCGAAAGAATGTCCTGCATTTTTTTATGTGAAAGCACACACTAATACTGTCTTGATAAGTAGCCAAGTGTATAATTTATGTTTATATTTGTTATTCAACGAAGCGCATCATTTTATATTAATAAATTGCTACTATAAATTGCTTATTATCATGGGAAATCTCTGTAGAGTTTCCAATAGTTGCGATGCGCTAAAAAAGGGGAAAAGTGTGCTAGTCGATTGTTTTATTATAAACTAGTTTAAAAAAGTATTTAGATAATAGAGAAAGATTGTACATTTTCTCAAATCGGAGCATATTCAGTTAGAATAAATTATTTTTGTTTAAAATTCTTTTTTGAGAAAATTCAAAAATAACTAGACATACTGTTTGTAGGGAATACGATTTTAAATAGAATTTGAAAGAACTTTAACAGATAAATCAGGATCTTCGTTAAATTTCTCGGCAACAGTTTGAGGTTTACTTGGTTAAATTTTTAAAATTACTTTTAACTTGTTTTCATTATCTCGACAAACCTTCATTTTATTTTATGGATTACCTACTGGAATACCAGTAACAAATAGTGTATATATTTTGTTAAATCTTACCTGCTCTAGTGATCCTAGCCACGCTAAACCTACTACTGTAATTCACTTTAAAATAACTTTCTACTATATGTCGTTCGTATTTCCCAGCACCATTTATAGGACTAAAGAGGTATTCGGGGTCTATGTTGTTGTGTATCCTTTGGTATCCTGTCATTCCTAGCAGCGTCAGAAGAATGGGTACGATTAAAAAGTATCCCGGATGTTTGCCAACTATCAAACCCAGTTGAAAGAAGGCTTTGTTCAGGTTTTTGTCTACTATTCTTAACCCCACCATCTGAAACGAAAAGAAAAATACTTTAAATATAGTTAGTTATAAATAACATCAGAAGCTAAATCTTATAAAGCATCTAATCAGTTTCAAATTATATCTTCTTCAATCTATAATACATAATTAATATATTCAAATCCATACAGTATCGGCCACTAAACGTTTTCCAATATGCTTTGCACAAGTCCATGTGAAAACTACAGAAAATTGTTTAGTTAGAGACAAATAAAACTTAACAGAAAGGATGTCCCTTTAATTTTCTTCTCTCAATCACTACTGCACATACAAAACTAACAGGTTATGGGCTCAGGATAAGTTTGAACCTACGTCTTTCTAAAATCATATCAGTTAGCCTACAAGAAGCTGGATGAAAATACAATAACGCGAAGTTGGTTGAAGATAATTCTAATACATGAAAATTTGTGGAGTTGCATCGAAGGTTAGCCTGAAAGTGATAACACTACCAAAGAAGAGAAAGAAAGAAACGTTCAAAGGACGCTAGCTAAAATCTGTCTCATGATTAAAACTTGTGCTTATGCACATGTAAGGTCAGCTTCAACTGCGAAAAATTTGCAAAAAGCCTACGAATGTTTGTCACGAAGGTTAGGGCTGATGAAAGCTTTAGCAGGTATTAAATTGGAAAATTATCCTTTCATGGAAACGTGCGTCAATGAAGTAATGTCAATAGCACAAAAATTGTCAGACATAAATTATTCTTTGAATGACAAGTTGAGGAAGTTATTTTATTGAGTGATTTAACGCCTGAATATAATCCGATGGTTGTGACTATAGAAAACTCTTTCACAAATATATCCAGTGATTTCGTTAAAGCTAAGCTTCTAAAGGCAACAAATACAACTCTCAGCAAAAACTCTATCGTTGTTACGGATGTGTTCAGGCAGGTCATAAGAAAACAAGTGGTCTCAAGAAGAAAGAGCAAAAGAGAGAAGAAGAAGACAAAGCTATCGACAAAGCCTTACGTGCTACTACAAAAACAGAAGAATAGTACGTCGGCTGTGGCTGTATGACAGACAGAAAATATATTTTTATAGACTGTAGAAAAGGATGATCTACGAGTTACTGTTGCAATTAAACAATTTTAAGTATTGGAATTGAAAATGATGGAAAATGAAGATGGAAGAAAAAGTTTCCAACGTAGTTTATATTCCAGATCTTCCGTCAGTAAGATAGTCTAGATTCTAGATAGACATTCAACTTTAACGGCAGTCAAATATATAACTGTTGCAGCATTACTTAAAATTGAAATGTACGAGGACAATATTGATGCAGAGCCACAAATATTTCTCAGTACAGAAAAAATACGAAAGTAATTCGGCATAAGATGCTGGGGTATCTAAACATAATCAGAATATATATTAAAAAATAAATTGGCTCATGGGATCAGTTATTCCAATGTACAGGGAGAGTAATGTGTAACTGGAAACAAGCAAACCAAGGAATTATTAGAGATTTTCTATTAGCAAAGCTTGCAGTAGTTACAACCAGAAAAATAAAGTTGTAAGACTTTTGGAATAACAAATGTTCGTACAACTTGATATATAAACATTAAAACAACGAAACAATAATAATTGTACACTTTATGTCATTTTGAAATATTCTTTTATTCCTATCCTGTCTTGATTAATTCTTAGTTTCTCACCAACTAATCAATTAGTTAAAGAATCAGTCTTCTGTTCCAATCACTATGACTTCTGTTTTACCAAGTTTTTGTCTCTCTTTGACGAAATGATGCTTGTATCTGGGACGTTATGCATTATTTTTGCTTAAATCAGTGGCTCATTTGTTGTCATTAAATATGGGGTACTTTTTCTGGCGCTTTATGTTCCAGCTGTCCTAGCAAGTTTTTTTGAAATATCGCTTCCTGAGTTGCCATGTTTAAAGCCACAGCTAATAGCTGCATCGATAAGGACTAAAACATACCCTGAAGTAAACTTTCTGTCTCCAGAATATCCGGCCCAGTCTGAATCCTATCCTTTCAAATGTTTATTGGACCATTTGAATGTAAGCCTGAGATTAGACGTCTGTTCCAGGTATCCCTTTATGCGTTTCACAGCTGGCCAGTGAGTTCTACCTGGATTGTTGCTAAATCTGGCTGAAGCCCCCACTCTAAAGCTAATATCTGGTCTACTACATTGTGCAACATACATTATACCTTCAATTGCCTCTTGGTAAGGTACCTTAAACATTTCTTCAGTATCTTCCTCAGCATTAGGCTAAATTTCTTTAATAAGAAACCAAATTCTCATACCTAAGCAGTAATGGGCCTCTCCAAGGTCCTTCATATTAAAACTTTAGTTTTTTCTTTAGATGTATCTTATGTTTTCTGTCTTCTGAGAAAATTAATAGATCATCTACGATTAATATTTTCTCTTTTTCTAAAATATATACATGGATCTAAAAGAAATTGATTGAAATTCATTTTCTTCAATACGTTATCTAATTCCCGGTTCCAGAGCCGACTTGCTTGTTGCTTTAAACCATACAAAGCCTTGAGCAGTCAGCACGTTTTGTTTTTTCAAAATCTATGCCTGGTATTTGTGAGTATCCTTACGCTACTAACCTTGCTTTATATCGTTCAACTTCTCCATCGACTGTTAGTTTAGTTCTGAATGTCAATTTGCTCTTAGTAGCTCTTTTGGTTGATGTTACAATACAGAGTTTCCAGGTTTGATTTTTAAAATTTGAGCTCATTTCTTCCTCTTTAGCCGCTTTTCACTCTTCTTCATAATTGTACAGGATGATACATAATGTACATAATAAGTTCTAACATTTTGTACATAGCTTTGTGAGGTTCAATGTCAGAAGCTTCTTGGAGTGGTGCAAAATATGCATGATTTTTCAAGACTTTCGAAAATTTTGCTATAACGGTGGAAAACCAGACCGAAAAGAAAATTAAAATGATTCGAAGTGATAACGGGACTGAATACGTAAATATATATTTTTTAAATTACTTGAAATCAATAGGGGTTCGTCATAAATATTATTAAAATGGCAAGATTCATGATGCAAGGCCCAGAAAGTGATAAACGAATGTAGGTGGAGGCAGTGAGTACTGCTGTGTAGTTAAAAAACCGCTTTCCGCATAAATCTATAAAAAAGACTCCAGAGGAAATTTAAACAGGTGCAAAAGTTAATCTAGAGCGCCTTAAAATCTCTGGATGGGTTGGCCAAGCTCATGTAACCACACAGTTGGGACTCAAACAGTGAAAGCTAATTACAAATTATTCAACTCTACAAATCCAATAAAATAACAAAAACCAGACATTTCAATGGATGATATACTAGTAAAGACCTTTGCAGACTAGGAAGAAAAAGAAGACAGTCAGATACCACAAGAAAGTGAAATTAGGTCCAGATACACTGGAGAATCGGTTTCAAGTTCACAAGAGAAAGAACCCAAATGCTTTCTTAGAAGTGTGACCATATTTTCTGCCATGTTGTATGCGAACAAAGAGATGATCCTGAAACATTTGCAAAGGCTATGACAAGATCAAATCAAGTCCATGGAAAGAAGCAATGCATGAGGAATATGATTCCTTGATAAACAATCAAGTATGGGTACTAGTATACAGTCTCAGAGGTTTAACTTAGTCATGTAGTTATTAGGTTATTAGATAGGGAAAGTGTTAATCATCTAATATAATCTAGTGTGATTAGTTTGGGTGTGCTCTCATTATCTCTTGTACAAGTTGTATAGCTTGTAAGTTATAAATCGCAACAAAAAGGCTGCCCCTCTACACATAATAACTAACATGAATTTTTTAAATAAAAAAATGTTTAATTAATACAAGCTTTACCTCCCCTTTTCTATCATATAGAGATGGAATTTCAAAAATTATCGAATGCACCCAGAGTAATATTTTTCCAAATGTTATATCTTTATTACCACCAATTTGTACTTTGCATTGTCTATCAGTCATTTACGATACTACTTTATAGTTAGGTTAAACTTACAGATCTGATATCTTAAGATTTCTTGCATCTGAACATATATAATCGAATATTTTGAAAAATTATTTTAAAACCTATTGTAGAAGTCTTTTATTATTTCGTTTTCTTTTATGTTATCATTCGAAAACATATTAAAGAGCATTAGTTTAAATATCTAATTAATATTATTTGGATTACCCGCTTTCTTTTTCCGCTTTTACACTGCTTGTTTGACATTACCGAAAAACATTAAAAAATCCAGTTTTAATAGGGTGTGTAGTCATTAATAAATTTTTTTATGCATATAATGTTATTCATAATGAAATTATACCATCAAATAACCACTTAGAACGTTTACCGAACTTTCGCCACAAAACCATTTATTAAATTATTACAAAATTGTGTGTTATTTATTAATTCGCCACACGAAAATGATGTAACGTCGGTCGGTCGCTACGGAATTGAATTAGAAATAAAAAAAATAACAACACCGCTAGGAAATTATCAATTTGCTACCATTCATCGCTACTAATTGGGAGTAAAATAAGACCTTAAATTCGATCATTATTTCGCAGAAATTATTTGTTCAAGAAAGAAAAAGTACCTAGTCTGTTACGATGTCAAAAGGATAAGTTATTATGAAACTGAATTTAATGTAGTGATGTTTGTTTACTGTTTTTGATTTAAAGAGGATAAGTTCAGTCACCGCATGTATTTAATTTATTTTGATCTAGTTTACGACGCAATACAAATATTGGAGGGAAGCCAGTGAACCTTCTATATATAATGTAAAGTGTCCAAAAACTCCCCTAGTGGGCTGTTCGCTTTCTAAAACCGTATTTTGGGTGGATAATACTCTTTAGAATGCCCCTTCATTTGTCCCTAACCTGTACGTTTTCTTGCCAATTATTCACTCCTGCCCTGCGTAGGTCTTCTTTCACTTCTTTCAGCCATCCTGATCTGGGTCTTCCACGTCTCCTTCTCTCTCCGGGGTCCCATTATAACATTGTATGAACCAATGTTCCATTTTCTGCTTCCCAAGCGTGTCCCAACCATTAACTCTGGATTGTTTTATTTTTGTTATTATATCTTCTAGCTCTTGTTTAATTTCATTTGTTCTAATTCTGTAATCATTTTCAGTGATTTTAATTGGTCCTAATATTGCTCTCATGATGTTTATTTCCATAATTCTTAGATTTAGGACTCGCTTAGGCTGCCGTTGCTAATCGAATCTGTGTCAATCAAGGCCGTAGCCAGGGGGGATCAAGAGGGATTGATCCCCCTTGGTCGGTTCAACATTTAAAATGGCAAAAAGGACGCAAGAAAATACATTATTCAAATATTTATTTTAAAAACCTAAACCTGGTACAGGTAGTGAAGGTTCTACTGGAAGAACACTACTTTGAGCTCTATAAAAAATATTTGAAATGGGACTTTGTAAAAGCTGAATCAGACATGTGGCGGATAAAATGGGTGGAAAAATCTGAACTAGATCGACCAACATGTGCTATGGAGAATGCAACCAGGCCTTATTTCTAAACATTCACAAACTTTTAAAGATCTTGGCGACACTGCCTGTTTCTACATGTACTCCTAAGACGACTTTCTTTTCTATGAAACGCCTCAAAACTTATTTGAGAAACTTCACAGGCCAGGAAAGACTAAACGGTTTGGCGTTAATGTCAATCCACTGCAGAATTGACATCGACACCGAGGAGGTAATTGATTTGTTCGCTGCAAAGAAAGCTAGAAGACTAAATTTAATTTTGTAATAAAGGGTTATTCTACTGTTCCACCAAAACACCCTCCCCCCTCCCCGACATTATTTTCTGGCTTCTTCGTGATTCTTCGGGCTTCTTGTTTACTTTTTTACTTTTCTATCTCGAGTATTGTAAGAAGTTACTATAACATTAATACATATGATTCTTGAATTCGATCTACTAAATTATTAACTACTTTGACAATCAATTTTATATCAAGCTTCATCGTTTTTCTGTAGAAATATAATTAAATCTATGATAGGTATATGAACGCCCAATTCAAGAAATACTTATTCACAACGAAATATCATTTTTCTTTTAATTTTTTTTGTGATTATAACAAGCAGGATCTATCCGATATTATAATTTCAGTACACATGTATGTTAACAATTAAATTTCTTTTCCTAGACCTTAATATTTTAAGACCTAAGGCATATCTTAAATGTATGTATTAACTTCCGAAGTTCAATACCCACAAGATAAAATTTATTGCGTAAGTAAAAAAAATTAATAAGTATATTTATCGGCAGGTTATTATTTGATGGAGTGGCCCACTTTTCCAAATTAGAAAATCTCTGAATGATGCTCCTCAACTATGACCAGACAGTCTAGATTTTAGTAGTGGATCATTTTTTTCTTCTACCGCATGTAACTAGACGACGATGACTAATAGGTTTTAAAATAATTTTTAAAAATATTTGTTTATATATGTTTTTCTCAAAAATTTACAACAAATCTTAAGATATCAGATCCATCTATACCTAACTATAAAATGGTATCGTAAATGACTGACAGACAAAGTAAAGCCCAAACCGGTGGTAATTAAGATTTAAAACTCCATCTCTAAATGATAGAAAAGGGGTGGTAAAAATTGTATTAAATAAACATTTTTTTATTTAAAGAATTCATGTTAGTTATATATGTGTAGAGATAGAAATTAAACTGGCAGCCTTTGTGTTGCGTTTTATAACTCATATAACTTATAAAAGGTATACAGGGTGGCCACTTTTTCATTGAAATGTATTGCTATCTCGTAAACCGTTGGTAACACAAAGTTGGTTAAATGGGGGAAAAAGTTGCATATTTCGAAGTCCAATCTGAGGGCTTTTTGAAAACTAAATTATCAGGTCCGGTTTCCGAGATATTCGATAAAAAACAAATAAGTACCATTTCTTTATTCCGCTACAGAACGTTTATTTGCAAAAATAGACAAAAACTCATTTGGAGTTTTTTGTTTTATATCAAATTGTGCGTATGATAGCGTATTTAGTTTTTTTATCCGACGTTTCGTAAATGCAGGACCACCATCAACTTCTTTATTTGAATATGGACCAATATTTTCCTGGCTCATAATTTTAATGCATGTTCAATGTTGAATACAATGATGTAATAACATATTGTGATTAGTCAACATTTCGGAAGATTTGAACATCATCAGGTAAGTTTACAAGTACGGACCTGTGTTTTGTTAGTTAAAAATATTTGAATTAGTAAATGATGTATTATCGTTGTAAGAGATTATAAATAATAAATACCAAAGTCAAACTTTTAACTTTACATCAAGACAACATGTTCGTTTACACATTTGCTAAAAAATATTTTCCATTTTTATGGTTTTTGCACTTGACCAATCCCAATATTAATCTATAAATAAAGTACATCCCGATTTTTAAATACATAAAGTTAACCTGATTTGTCATATTTTGTTGGATTTTTTAAACTGATATGGTTCCTCATAGTATAAAAAAGAAAAAGTTAACAAACTGCAGATAGATACCTACTTACAATAATAATTGTATATCTAGCAACACGTCTTGATTATTATACAGATAAATTTAAATCAAGTTAACCTGGCATGTCACATTTTATTATTGTATATTTGACAGTCTGGTATCGGATAAAAGCATTGGTATATTTTTAATTAGGGTATTGAAAATATGGTTCGTTACAGTAGAAGTGAGAAAAAAGATATGTACGATGTGTACATAAAATGTAACAGAAATAGTGGAGAAGCTGCAGAAAGATACCTTCAGTTGTATCCAGGAAGGAGGCAACCATCTTTATTAATTTATTATAGGATAGCGTTAAATATGGCTCACGAAGGAAATATTGAAAAAAAACGTGGTAAATATTTAAAACGTAATACAATAAATGAAATAAATGTTTTGTCTCAAGTTTATATCAACCCTGAAACGTCGTCTAGAGCAATAAGCCGAGAATGTGGAGTTTCTGCAAGTACTGTGAAAAACATTCTTAAAAAACATAAGTACCATGATTACAAATTCCAAACTGTACAAAAGCTACATCCTGGAGATTATAATCGTAGAATAGAATTTTGCCGTTGGTATAAACGAAAATTAAATAATGATGTATCCTTTCATGGACGAATTTTATGGACAGATGAATCGACATTTACTAATAGTGGAATATTTAATAGAAAAAATAAACATTTTTATGCCACCGACAACCCACATTTAATTCAAGAAGTAAGACCCCAAATTAGATTTTCAATAAACTTATTGTGTGGAATACTCAATAATAAAATAATTGGTCCTATTTTTATTGACGGAAACCTCAACCAACACAACTATTTACAATTGCTAGAAGATATGTTAGATAATCTTCCTTTAGGTGATCGAAGAAATATTTATTTTATGCAAGATGGCTGTGGGCCACATAATGCTGCATTAATCAGAAATTATTTAAACGAAAGATTTCCCAGGAAGTGGTTTGGTACACATGGACCTATTCGATGGCCCCCTAGGTCACCCTGCTTAAATCCTATGGATTATTTTGTATGGGGATATATCAAAAATAAAGAATATTATGATAGTATTCCAAATGACTTAAATCAATTACGAGATAGGATAATTAATGCGTTTAATAATATCACTCCACAAATGGTTTCTGCCAGCATAGCTCAAATGACAGACCGTATTGACTTATGTATTCAAGAAGAAGGAGGACATTTTGAGCAACTACTGTAGTTTTTCTCTTATCGTTAATCATTGTTTTCATGTATTTGTTTCTGACGTGATTAAGTAGTTAAATACATATTTTTTTTTATTAAATTATTTTAAGCATTTAAAATGTAGTTGTGTATTTCAAATAATTTATAATACAGGTCTGTACAAGTAAACGTACCTGATTTCTTACACTGATAATACATCATTTACTAATTCAAATATTTTTAACTAACAAAACACAGGTCCGTACTTGTAAACTTACC